CCCACAGCCACGCTCTCTCTGGATGAGTCTGCCCGGGCCCCCACAGCCACGCTCTCTCTGGATGAGTCTGCCTAGGCTCCCACTGCCACGCTCTCTCTGGATGAGTCTGCCCAGGTCCCCACAGCCACGGTCTCTCTGGATGAGTCTGCCTAGGCCCCCGCAGCCATGCTCTCTCTGGATGTGTCTGCCCAGGCCCCCGCAGCCTCGCTCTCTCTGGATGAGTGTGCCCAGGCCCCCGCAGCCACGCTCTCTCTGGATGTGTCTGCCTAGGCCTCGCCATAACACCCTTTTCCTGCAGCTGCCCTTTGCCCTGTGCCTGGACTTGGCGTGGAAACTTCTCATGTTGCTGAACAAGGAACCCCAGCTTCGGGGTCTCCCTCCACACCTTTGCACCTCTTTCTCTGTAGCCCCTGATACTTTGGCCTCAGACAAGTTCTGTCTTCCTTGGACCCACAAAGAGCCCTGGAAAGGGGTGCTGGGTCTGAGAAAAGGACGTGTGTACCCAGTGACTGCCTCACAGCCCAGTGGGCGCCAACAGGTCCCAGCACTGGCACAAACCTGGAGGGAGGGTACAGAGTCCCACGAAAGCCATCTAGATGCTTCCACGGGCCGGGAAAGGGGCCAGTCTGGGAGAGCTCTGCTGAACCTCTGGCCCCGGGTATTCCTACCCAGAGATGGTTTACATCCTGTCTGCCCTGGCCTCGGGCTTCAGAGGGATTTCAGAGGAGACAGAGACTTGCTAAGTGCCACCAGTCAAGGTTCCAAAATGACCTCCCAGTTCTGCAGGAGGATGGAATGCTGCTGGGATTCTCCATCCCGGGAACCACAAGGTCAGAAGGGCCCCTGGGAGCACCAAGGTTGCATCCTGCACTCAGCCCTTAGGAACCAAGTCCTGGCAGTAGAAGTGACAGCCTGGCCTCCACCTCGTGACTGGCCGTGGGCCAAGACATGCACCTCCTCCCTGGGCACTCAGACGACGTGGTGGGTGTGGCCCGTGGCAGCCGGCTCCTCCCACCACACCACCATGCCTACCACATGCAGCTGATCACGGGGCACTTTACCAGCCGGGGGGTCAAGGCCCTGATCTCAGCAGCTCTGAGACCACCAGGTGGACCTTGGGGCACCCTGAGGACAAGGACATTCCAGCAGGAGGCGGGGCCCCCACTGAACTGACTGGCTCAGCAGGAGCATCGAGACCGTTCTCTGCTGTGGTTCCACATTTGAAGACATTATCAACAGCACTGTTTTTTAACTTACCCACAATCCCATTACCTAAAAGAGGTGAGTTTTCCTCAACTGGAATTTCAGCACAGGGCTGTTTTATTTAATTCCCTCGACATGGTTTCATAAACAGTCTTCCACATTCGGCAGTTTCACCAAACTTACTCCGACACTTGCACAACAGGCGTGAGAGGCAAACCCCCTCCACGCTCCAGAGCTTCACAACCGATGGCAATCTATGCCTGCTGTCCCTCACCATGCTCTTCCGAGGGGACTCTACCCTCCTTCTAAAACGTTCTCAGTTCCTTTCTGTCCCGGGTAAAACGGACACACGGAGAGACGCTCAGATCTCGTGTACAGCGCAAACCTCACAACTCAGTCAAGGTGTGGAATATACTCCCCCCGAGGGGCTGTTCATATGACTTGAGGTCATGGAGCTCCACAGAGCAGCCCAGAGCATACAGGTGCGGGGGGCCCATGGATCTGGTCACACCCTAACCTCCCACCACGTCCCCGGAGCAGCAGTCACCCCTGGTCAGAGAGAGGATAAGAAAATGTCCTTACTGGTTCGATGATCGCTGGTTCTCCCTTCTGACCTTTCTCGCCCCGTGGTCCTCCAATCTGGGGGTGATAAAAGGCGGACAGACAGAGAATGGAGGAGAGAAAAGGAAAAAAGAAAGCCCAGATCACACAAAATCTGTATGACTTAGCAAAGCAAGGGTGCCACTTGCGGCCGGGCATCTCCCCAGGCCCAGAGGAAGGCAGAGGAGCTGTGCAAGCTCTGACAGTGAGCGAGCGGGCCACCCGCGAGAGGCCATGCGTGGATCAGAGACAACTATGCATGGCACACAAATCATTCACGATCAAACTCTGAGCACCTGAGATCTCTTTAAAAAAATAAGGCTTCAGGGATGGCCCACAACCTCTGCTCCCTGCAGATCCCACCAGAGAGGAGGCTCACTAGAAGGAGGCCCCTGTGCTCCCCAACCCCCCAGTCCCCGCCGGAAGGGAGCACGCGCCCTCTCACCCCTTCATAGATGGTGTCCTGGTTGGCTGGCATGCCGGGCCCGATCTCTGATGGGGAGATGGTGGGGTCATAGTAAGGGTCATAGTAGTTGTCGTCGAGGTTCTTGATGGTTTCTTCAGCGAACTCCCCCTCCGAGCCATCTGTCCCTTCCCCTGGAGATGGAGCCGGCTACAGAGGGAGGGAAGGAGCGGCAGGGTCACCAGGGAGAGCCCCGCCTCACCGACATGCTGGCACCGCCTCTCTGCCAGCCACCATGCGTGGGCCTCGGACACCAGGTAGACCTGACAGAGATGTCCGCCCTCCGTGGGCTCCAGGTCCCACACCCCAGGACTCCAAGGCCACAGAGCACCTTCAGCCTGGAGTCCTACCTGCCAGGAGAAGTCCTATGGCTCCTGGGAGCCTCTTTACACTTCTCCCTCTCACACTAGGGAAACTGTCACCCAAACCTGCCCAAGGTGCATGACAAGCTAGGGCAGGGCCGGGACTCAGCACAAAGCACCAGCTGCACCGTGCATCTGGGGAAGTTGTTAGTCAGGGCTCCACCCCAGTCTCGGGCCTCGGGCCTTGGGCTAGCACGTCCCTGATCCCATCTGCTGAATAGGGGTTTGGGCCCACTGGCGCAGGTGTCCTCACTGGCAGAGAAGACCTTGGCACCACATAATGGCCATCTCTAAGCATGGGCTACGTGCCAAGGGCTGTGCAAAATCCCTCCCTAGTCTGAACCCCTCACAGCCCCAGCAGCGGGCACTATCAGAGCCTTGCTGTAATGAGAACCCTGAGACCCAAGAGGCAAGGTCACTTTCCAAGGTAACTGGCAGAGACTGCAAGCTCGTCCATCTGACGGCAAGGCCCCTGTCCTGTCCCACATTGCCCAGCCTCACACTCATCTGTGTCTGTCTGGGTCCCTCTTGCACACGCCTTTCTAGCCCGACAGCACCTGGCCATGGCAGCAGCACCTCCTCATGCAATTTCCACCCGAGCCCCAAGACCCGAGGGCTGGGGTCATTCTGCCCATGTTGCAGGAGAATAACTGATGACCCTGAGCCCGGCTCAGCAAGCAGGGACTCTACACGTGCTCCACGGGCAGCCCAGCTGCAGAGGGCCCCGGTCCAGGGCGCAGTGGGCTTGGGACCCTGGGAGCCACCCAAGGGCCCTCAAGGTGAGAACAGAGAAAGGGGAAGAGCTCAGGGGTCCCAAGCCCAGCCTCAGCCCTGCCCCTCCCTCCCCCCGGACCAAGCCAGGGAGGAAAGCAATTACGTTGGAGGCATTAGAGGTGACAACAGAGCTGGTGGGCATTTCAGCCCCTGCGCCGGGGTCGGTGGGCTGGTCGGGGTTCTCTGCACCCTCGCCGTAGTTGAGGTCGTCATAAGGGGGCGGCGTGTAGTAGTCCTCGCTGGGCACATAGTCGTAGTCCTCTATGCCTATGCCGGGGTCCTCCTCCTTCCCGGGTCTCTCGCTGGTTTCGGGCACGGGAGGGACTTCCGTGGCGGGCAGGGTCACCTCCTGGGAGCCAAAGGCAGAAAGAGGCAGAGTTAGGGGGCTGAGCCCTGGGACTTCCCACATGTGCAGGTGCAAGCATCTCTGCAGCTCGAGAGCGAGTGGGACAACCCATCTATCAACCTGCTGTCCAGCCAGAGGCCCGTGGATTGGGGTGCAGGGGCCACCTCCATCATCCCGGGAGAAAGGCAGAGAGAAGGAAGAAAGCAGCCCCGCCTACAAGCCCCCATCCTGAGAGAGCTGGAAGGGACTGGAAACCACCCCATGACACTGGAAAAGGATGAATTACATCTCAAAATTTAAAAACAAAAGGAGCAGAACATTTCAGACTCTTAGAGCACTGTGGGACCAGGTCATCTTTCCCTGGAAGGACACACACACACACAACTCACACATACACACACACGCGGCCCATCCAGTTATCACGGGCAGGCTGGTTTTGAGGCTGTATCAGCCCCGCACACGCACACAGGGGTGCTGGCTCCTGTGAGCTCGCTGCACGGGGCAGGACAGACAGGGGAGCCCCAGCACTGCCCTCTCGTTCCACGGCTGTGCTTACGTTGAGGAACCCGAGACCCAAGCTCAACCTAGATTTGCTTGAGGCCACACGGCTGCTGGGTGGGGACCAGGAGCCACACTGTCCTTCACACCCACATCTCCTGAGGCCCTTTGCCCAACACTCCCGTGAGTACAGAGCACAGACAGCCACATGGCACCCCCTGGCCTGCTGAGCTGCTGCCCCCACCAAACAGGCTGGGCACGGCTCCTCCATCCTCCCCTCCCCTGCACGATGGCCTCATGGGACCATGAGCCCCCAGCCCCAGCCGCGGCCAAGTCAGACCTTGGGAATCTCCGTGGTTTCTCTCGCAGCTTCCACAGGCTTCTTGGTGGAGGCGGGCTCCTTCCCCAGGTCTTCCGGGTCTTCATAGTAGGGGTATTCATAGTAATAGGTCTCACCTTCACCCTCTCCTTCTGGGTACTGAAAGCACGTCACAAACAAGGAGAACAGACCCATTAGGAGACCAGCCTGCTTCACGCCTGTACCCTCAGATCCAGCCGGGAGGAGTGCACACCCCAAAGTCCCCGCCAGCCCCAGGCGGAAAGCAGCCCCTGGGTCCCCAGGTGGGGTCTTCCCTCTGCAGCTCTTTGGGAAGCTGAGCCGGCCCCACCAGAAACCTGAGAGGAAACGGGGGACCCCGGGACCCCTTGAGAGGAACTCAGAGTGGGAGCCATCTGACCGTTCCGACCCTGGGGCCAGGACGACCAGCCAAGGTGTCAGCCTCCTGGGCCACGCAGCTGCCACTGGCCGTACAACTCCCTGACCTCCAGCCCCAAGCCATGAAGCCCGGGACCCAATGGAAGCTTCAGAGCAGCACGGGAGGTCTTGTCCTCAGAACCATTTCTACATCAGGAATCAGGAGGGGCGGGCCAGGAGGCCGGGGCTGCAGGAGCCCAGCGGGGAGCCCCATCCAGCCTCGTTCTCGGTTTTGTGAGACGTGGCCCAGGTCACACAAGCCTACAGATCCTTCAGGGCCACCCCTGTCCTCTGTCCTGGCAGGTGGTGAAAGAAGAAGGGCCGAGGAGAAATAAACAGCAGAACTTAATATTACATAAAGAAAGGAGAGTCAAACTGGACCAGGGAGTGAGAGGATTTTCACCCAGAGCAGGTAAGAACTGCAGATAAAATAAACTGGGAGCTGCTGGAGTGTGGGGGCAGGTGCAGGGGCCGGCTGACCCATGGGTCATGATGGGTCACAGTAAGAGGAACAGTGTCAGGCCTGTCCCTGAAAACACTCAGAACAAGGCTATTCTCCAGTCACTGCCACTCTGGGAATCAGAGGACGGGACACTCTGTGGTGAGCTGTCCTCAGGTCCGTCCTATCTGGCACACTGCAGACAGCCCCGTCCAGTGGACTGAGTCCCTGGAGGACATCTGTGACATCTCTGCTTCCAAACACCACATTGAGGTCATAAGCCAGGGGGGAAGAGACACCTGGGACTTGGCTGAAAGGGCTGAAGAGGAGTTATAACAAGGCCACCGTGACGCATCGTTGGGGAGCACTGCAGAGCAAAATGCTCACACACAACTCTCCCCTGGGTCCCTTCACCTCACCCCACGCATTTATTTAAAATGGGGGGTCCCAGGGCTTACACATCCCCACACATCCACCCTGCCTGCCTGACCCTAGCCCATCCCAGGGGCTCTGCCCACGGCCTCCACCATGAACCCAGTGCAAGCTGACTCACATATTCATCTGGGTTGGGGTCCTGCGACTGGGGGGCATCAGGAACCGCGGTGTCACAGTCGGGACTGTAGTGCTCACAGTAATCATAAGCTGCCCGGTGATCCGAGACAAAGAGCAGCTGCTGGATGTCACCCTGGAAAAGGACAAAAGCTCATAAATAAGCAGCATACAGGGCACTCACATGGTGACCTGGGAGACCTGGCCTTATATCACGAGGCGAAGAGGAGACCTGGCCTGATGCCGTGAAGCAGCGAGGAGCTCCTTGAGAGGAGATTTATCCTCAGGGCCAGACTTCCTCCCAGGAAGCCGCTGCATCCAAAAGCCACCCTAGCTAGGTTGGACCGCCCATTCGTTCATCCGTCTATCCATGCACCCATCTATTTATCCACCCATCTGCCCACCCATTCATCCATCCATCCATCCACCCATGCATTCGCCCATCTGTCCATCCATCCATTCCACCCATCCGTCCGCCCATCTGTCCACCTAGTCATCCATCAATCCTTCTATCCATCTATCCATCTACCCATCAAATCCACCATCCACTCCACCACTATCCACCCATTTACCCACCCACCCATCCATCCATCCATCCACCTAGCCATCCATGCTAATCCATCCATCCATCCATCCACCCACCCATCCATCCACCCACCCACCCATCCATCCATCCATCCACCTAGCCATCCATGCACTAATCCATCCATCCATCCATCCATCCATTTATCCATCCTTCTATCCGTCTACTCCCCCATCCACTATCCACCCATCAGACCCTTTTGAGCACCTACCATGTGCCAGCCCAGTGCTCAGAGCTCTTGTCTACTGTGGGTAAGAAACACAGCCTGCCAACTCATCCACCCTAGACTGTGAAGGCTTGGAGGACCCCTGCCCCCTTCCCCATCACCCCTCAACCACTGAGGTAGTTTGTTTTTAAAGAGGCAATGCTTGATTCTTCAAAAGTTAAACACAGAATTAATATATGGCCCAGTAAATCCAATCCTAGGAATTGAAACAGGTACACAATTTACCCCAATCAGTTCACCCCCAAAAATGAAAACAAGGACTCAAACATGTGCACCCATATGTACAGCAGCACTATTCACAATAGCCACAAGGTGGAAGCAACCCAAGTGTCCATCGACAGGCCAGTGGATAAGCACAACGTGCTCTACACACACACAATGGAATATTCTTCAGCCATATAAGGAAATGAAGCACTGACACATGCCACCAAATGAATGAACCCACACGCTGACCACTGAGCTTTCTGGTTCATCGCGGGGTGTTCATCCGAGCAGCCGACGGTCTCACTGCGTGAGTGGGGGAAGGGCGACCGTTTGCTCCATTCTTCTCAGTAGAAATGAGCTAGGAATGAGAGCACAGGCCTCACAGACGTCTCACAGAGGCCAAGGTGACAAACACCCGACACGTGCTAGCAGTCACCCTGCAGCATCCTGGACCCTCCCAAGGCAGAGAGTCTTCTGGCCCCAATCAGATGGACACAGGTGGCCGATCCAGTAATGATGTTATCAGTGATGGTGACTATGACTGAGACGGTATGTGCTACAGGTCAGGCCCTGGGCAAAGAACGTGCACACGGTCTCCCCTTGTGTTCACAAGAACCCTATGAATTATGTCCTATTATTACCCACTCTACAGCTGAGGAAACCAATCCCGTGGAACGTTGCCTGCCCATCGTCCCACAGCAGGTGGGGCAGGGCCAGATCAGGAATCCTGCAAGGTTCCAGTCACCACACACCCTTCTAGGCTGCACAGGAGGAAAAAGAACATGAAAGAACATGCTGGGATGTTGGAATCACATCGAAGGAGATGGTGCCCGAAGGCAAGGGTACTCAGGGGTTGTGCGGGGTGTTGAGTTATCTGGACCCGGAGCTCATTGCGCCACACTGCGTCACCACCCGTCCACTCTCCTGGAACAAATCATGTGCAACAGTTAAGCACAGGCCCTGAGTCCACTGTGAAAGCCTCACCCAGTGGACTGCGGGCTCAGAGTGCCCAGGCCCCATCTGGAGGTGGCCCCATCTGGAGGTGGCCCCATCTGGACGTGGCATATTCCCTATAGTTTACATTGAGCCTTCACTCCATCCAGGTAGAGGCCAGGGTGCCAAGCGGGGTAGGGGACATTCATGGCTGTGACCTCTGTGTGCACACAGCAGCCATCGATTTGAGGGCTGCTCTCCTCCAAAGACCCTTGATGTGGGGGTCTGGCCAGAGCAGAACAAGCACTGTGCCTTGGATGGAGGGGGTGGCCCAGCACTACCATCCACATGAGAGCCAGGTACCATGTGAACGGGCTGCCGAGACACTGTGGGCTCAGAGTGGGGATGGAGGGACCCCCAGCCCCCAGGGACGCACAGGGAAGGAGCATGCTCTGTACAGCACTCAGGCCTGGCCCACACACCAGCTCTGCTGCTTCCTGGCTGTGTGGCCTCGGGTAAGTCTGCTCCCCTCTCTGAGTCCTTCTTTCTCTCCGTGAGTAAATGAGCATAAAAGTAGTAACATCCACCTCATGGAGTGATGGAGACTACAGCAAGTCCTCCAGCAAAACTCCTCACATACAGAAGGTGATCGATAAATAACATTAAGAATGTGAGATCAATGGGGTGGGGGTGGCGTGTGCTCAGGAAGAGCCCTGAAGGGACAATAGTGTCTGAAGGAGCTGACAGGAAGCAGAGGTCCCAGGCAGGACGAGGAGCGGAAACCCAACGGCAAATGCGTGGGGGCAGGAAGGAGGCCACGGCAGCCAGGAAAACACTTCCGAAGGAGGGGCAAGGGGTGGGCACCCACGCAAGGGACAGGGGATGGCCACAGGGCCGGTAGGATGGGCTCAGGGAGGGGGGACTAAACAGGAAACAGTGCTCAGCACTCAAGAAGGGGAGGAAAAGGTGGGTGCAATTACATGATTACTATTGAGGAAGTGCTCAGCTCTTTCTCATCCACCCACACGCCCACCATCCACCCATCCATTCATCCTCCACCCACCCATCCACCCACCATCCATCTATTCATCCAACCATCCATCCACCCACCCACCCACATATCCATCCGTCACCCACCATCCATCCATCCCACCCATGCCCCCACCTCCCACCCATTCATCCACACATCCATTCATCCTCCACCCACCCATCCACACACCATCCATCTATTCATCCACCCATCCACCACCCACCCACCCATCCACCCATCCACCAC